TAGAATATTATGGAAGCAAAACACTTAGTTTCCAAAAATGTGGAGGCACATGTATGCATGATAACAATACGGTCTGTAATTACATCAGTCATGAGACAAAATTATAAAGGAAAGTCAGTTTTCTATTTCAGTAGCTTCTAAGAGTACAGATACCAGGAAGAAAATTTCTCCCATAAGCATCTTAATGCAAAATTCTGTACCATAGAAGTGTCTATCTTCCTCTGAAGTCCCTAATAGTGACTTCTAGAGGTAGAACAAACTGAGACAGATACAATCCTGGATGGCTATTTTAATACTGTCCCACTTCTACTGTTACAGCTTTTACTTTCTCAGAAGAAATGTTTTGTTTTTTTTTTCCAATTCAAAGTAATTAAGAGCAAAATGTGTTTGCTGTTTATTTCCATTTAAAGAAAGAAACAGAATGGAAATCTAAGAGACAATTCCATGTGCTAATTTTCCTTGAATGTCATTTAGCGCTTAATGACATTGTTTTCAGGCATAATACACTTCACTGCCTGCTTGTGCCAGCTGACAGATTTAGAAAATCAAGGTCACTGTTATGTATATAGAACATTAGATTTCAGTTTGCATTTGACATGTGTGTTTTGGTTCATAACTCCAAAAGAAATTATGTAGAAACCAGGAAGACCAATTGTACTTACTCATTTTCTGTCTCTAGATAATATTAGCGCTTAATTAAAGGGGAGCTGGAGCAGTGGTAGTAAAAAAGTGAAGACAGAACTCTCAATGGCTTCTGAGAGTTATGGTTCTCATACAGCTTGAAAAATTTTAAGAACATATATCCAAATTACTACAGGCACCTGCTACTGAATATTTAGTGTCTGGTTCTAAGAGTTCAGTGACAGAATAAATAATTCCTTTCCAATTACTGAAACTGCACCTTCACAGAAGAGTAAATTAACTGTCAGTTTCTGGAGACAGTTTGTTTTATGCATGCAAAAATAAATCACCATTTTCATTAAATGCTTTGATTTATAATTTTCTTCTTTAATACATTCCAATAATACTGAAAGTAAAATTTAAATAAAAAGGAAAAAAATGTATAGTGAGGCCCAATGATACTGTGTGGGTGAAATGGGAAAAACAAGTGTAAGAAATGTTTCCTTGGGTAATTCTATTCCACTCAGTTCCCTTACATGAGGGACCAGTTACTCTCTTTACTTCACATGCAGTCCTGACTAGAATCTCAGAGTCAAAAATTGAGGGAGCAGCAAAATTAGCTGAATAACTCTCTTTTTACATATAGTGCTATATACTGTTGTAATGCTTACAAGCAGGTTTGCTCACAGTATTAAGCCCAGCTCCGTATAAAAGAGGTAACACCTTTCAAATTGGACTGATATACTGAATATAGATATATATGAAAATAATTTTGCCATCTATGTCAATATAAAACAAATATGTAAATATGTCAGTTTCCCAAGTCACTTCTACACCTTAATAAAAACTCCTGTATCTTCTATAGTAAAAATTAAGCAGAGAAAATACCCTGATAATCACGCAGCACACCCAGAGAGTGAAAACATTTTAAGCCATTTTCACAGTGTTCTTTTGGGTTTTTTTCCAATTATTTCATTAATAGTCTCTTCCACTTTATCCTGTTTGGGCTTCTCAAAAGGTCTCTACTTTCTCACACTGACATATACATTTTTCAGAAGAAATTACATCACTAGAAGTCAGTATATTACATTAATGTACATTATCTACAATACTACTAATAATATATGTGATTTCTTCGCCTTCAAATATTAAATAGCTCAGTTTACAATAACTTTGCCAGTCCTTGAAGTGAAGGAACTACATCCTGGAAACAAGCCTAAGATAGACTTTTCTTCCTCAGAGAGCTTTTATAGGTCAGAAGTCTTGTGTTTCCCACTTACAATCTGACCTCAATTAATGAAGTCTTTTAGAGGACACTAAATTATTTTTGTATAATAGAAGTTTAAATTGAGAATATCTGCACTGTTTTAAATAACACACCATATACGACATGACCCCATTCCAGATAGCAGGAAATAGCAGGATAATATATTTGGGGCTATACTACTATAAAACCATTCCAATTTTTGGTAATTGCCACAGCTGGGATGGAAGTTTGTGTTGAGGTAGAAAACAACCTTTCCAGGAGCTAAACTGCCGCTATTAAGCTAAGTAACACCATGTCTTCCGAACTTTCAGTAGGTCAAG